GTGCCCGGGCGGAGCGCCAGGCATCGACCGACCGATGAGATGACTGTTCACCAACGGGTGTCTCTCGGTGCCGGGGCTAGTGATTTGTGAGGAAGAAGGAGACGAGGGAATCCCACGCCCCCCATGCCTTGCCTCGCTTCCAAGAGCCTCCGAAAGTGGGGGGATGAAGTCTCAGAATAAGGCTACTGGCGTTCTTTAGATGAGCTGGCGGTCCACGACGCAGTCAATGAGATGACGTCGCGGCGACAGGACATGCCATTTTCACCAGGATCCCGACAAGAGGGATGGACGACGAGACGCAGAGTAGAAGAGAAGGTCATGGGAAGAGGGAAGAGGGAAGGCAGGCTGCATTCTTTCGGCAGGTAATCACCTGGGATGTGTCTGGTGAGCCGCCATGTCCTGCAGAGTGCTCCCAAGACAGCTTACTACGTGTTTCATTGCACTTTATCTCTACAGATGTACAAAGCAGGTAGGTAGGCAAGGGTGCATGAGGTAGAAGAAGCGCGCATCCTGCATTGCATGGCCACGGGCAGTTGGATGGCGTGCAACGACAGGCGTAATGGCGCAGGGGGTTTTTGTATTCCGTGTAAAGATGGCCCAGTCGCACTGTCCACAGGTACCTCTGCCGATGCTGCGCTCGCTCAAGCTTGCACCTAGCCGGTGAACGCTACCGGCCGGTGAGACCTGGCCGTCTCCACCAAGCTGAAAAATCTCTATTGCCAGGGCCTGCCTGATACTCGAAAACACCAGCAAGCACGGTAAGTCTATGTGTTGGGGCATTTAGCTGCACCTCAAGATCTAGGGATCCCTTAACAGAGATCTCGCCTAGCTACCATGAGCCTGGCTGCAGCTGACGAATAAACCCTCTAGGCACAGTGTCCTGACCGAAGCATCAAGTCCTGCATGGGAGAAACACGAGTTTCTTCTACGCCTCCGCCAGGGCATCTGCAGCACGCCCAACGCCTCGATTCCAATGACACCCAGGCCTTTTTTTTTCCTCCCCTACTACTGCTGCTACTATGTGACGTACGATTAGGGCCCCGCCAACATGGCCTGATGGCGACAAAATGTATGTAATCTCCCAGTGGGCCTGCGCGCGTCTAGTCGACAAGACTGATTGCTTTTGGCGCGTCTTTCTGAAGCTGCACGCGAGAGACGCTTCTCATCGGGCCTCGTATTTAACACGTTTCCTTCAGCGTGCTGCATGCGTCGTCCTTGACCAGGCAGAGTGAGGGGAGGGGGTAGGAAAGCGCATCTGGCAGGCGGCTCGGGGCGATGGGGCAATCCCCGGGCTAAAATAGAGGACCATCCATCCATCCCCTTTGACAGAGCAAAGAAAAACGTGCAGATGTCTTCTGGCAGGCGTCGATCTTCGCCTCAACAGGCGCCAATGCTTGCAGACCGCCGACCGGTCTGGAGTCTTGGACGAGGCCGAAGGAATCGGTCAGCCATGGACCCCAACACAATAGAATAGCTAAAAAAGTGCCTTTTTGAGGCATAGTTGCAGCGGAAACTCGCCAGGGGACGGATTGGGGAGCATCGCAAAGACTCTCAGGGCGCCCTGTGATGCCGATCACAACGCCAGTAGCACCAAGACAGCGTGTCCGCACCGAACCCTCGCCCCTCGCCCCTCGCCCCTCCCCCCAGTCAAGGACAAGATGCGGGAGCGGCTGCGAAACTCGATCTTATCACAGATTTCGGGCTTTTTCTAGCGAGTTTGAAGCGATCTGTGCATTGTAGGGTCTGTCCGGTCGTCGGAGGGCCCTCGACGGTATGGACCATGGCGCCGGCCGTGATGCCGACTATGGTTTAGCATTGCGGCTTTTTGGCGGCAGTCATCCATTCCCACAGCCGCGTTGATCAGGAGGGCTGTCTCTGGTCATGGTGGTGAAACCGCGCACCGACGTGCCGTGTTTGTCTTCACACTAACGAAGGACATTGCTCAGCATGGGCTGGTGCTTGATAAACTTTCTGAAAGGCTCAAGATGGTTATTCTTGTTATCAACGCAAGACTACCACGGAAGGATTTGTCCGTATTAATTCACATGCATCGGACTCGGATACCATTGGAAGCACTTTGGTATCTTTTGAAGCCATGATTGACGATACTCTGCCATCGAGCTTGTCACTACCCCTTGCCCGAATGGATGTTTACGTGACGCTGGCAATACATCGCGACTCCATAGGCGAGGCGAGGCAATGGCGAGACCTTCTTCTCTGTAAATCCCGCGAACACGCCATGTCTCCCTCCCTGCGCGCTTCGGACAATATTCAGCAATGGATCAAGCTACCGGCGAGGGGTCCAGCGGTGACAGGGCTGTCGTGGCGACACCGTCTCGTTGCACGGCGCGCGCTCTCGCAGGCATTAACGGTTATGCAGTCGCAAAGTCTGTTTTCCCTTTCCAGTCCAACCCAGTATGGGGCCATCGACTCATGTAGGACGCCAAGAGAATAGTCGCGCTTGTCATGTCTAAAGAACGCATACATGTACATCGCCCTAGATCGCAACAATGACAGGCGTGTTTCTACCATTGAAAATGGCTCAAGGCGGGGTGGGCGGTGGTGGGTTTTCCCGTCTCCTCCAGCTACTGAG